AATGACATGATTGACGGAATAGATTCAGAAGCGTCGCTGTTCGCTGATCTGAAATAGATGAAGAGAATACAAGCGGTCGAGGATCATCTAAGATTACAAGGGAATTAAGTAAGTAAGTTTATTCAGGTATACACAAATACAGTTGCATAGATTATCATACATAACAGCATATAACCCAAAAAAGTCAGACAGAGTGATTTTTTTCCATTAGGATCTGGATAGACTACTAATCTGGTCTGACAAATGGCTGCACACGTCACTTAAAGAAAAGGATCTTGGGGTAAGCATTATAACGTCCCTTGAGGAACACATCAATCAAATAACTGCTCAGCATATAGAAGCCTGGCAAACAAGAGAATGGCATTTCGACATCTGAGTAAGGAATCCTTCACGACATTGTACATCGTGTACGTCAGGCTCACACTGGAGTATGCAGCACCAGTATGGAACCAACACTTAATCAAACACGTCAAGAAATTGGAGAAAGTGCAAAAATTTGCAAAGGCTATGCTTTACAAGGAGAGATTAAGGGAACTCAACCAAATGACATTAGAGGATAGGAGGGACAGGGAAGACATGATAACGACGTATAAAATACTGAGAGGAATTGACAAAGTGGATAGGGCTCTAATGTTTCAGAGATGGGATACATGAACAAGGGGTCACAGTTGGAAGAAGAAAACCCAGATAAGTCATAAGAATGTTAGGAAGTATTGCTTTAGCCTTAGATTTGTCATGAAGTGGAATAATCCGGAGAGTAATGTAGTGGAGGCAAATTCCATACATAGCTTTGAGAAGAACTATGATAAAACTCATGGATCAGGGATAGTGATTTAGTATTGACCAGCGAAGAGGCGGGGCCAGGAGCTATGAGCCAACCGCTGCAACCACATATAGATGAGTTCATATAGGTGAGTACACACACACACACACACACACACTGCAACGTCAAAAAGAATAAGTGTGACCCCTAGCCAGAGAGTTAAATGCAAATCAAGTATAGATTATTTATTGAATAAAAAAACCCACAAAGTCAGGTGAAAGAAAAAGAAAAATATATAAAATAAAGAAATCGAAGGTGAAAATAACCATCAGTTATTCATGGGATGTCTGATGTTTTCTCGAAACAACTGTGTCCATAATAAAGATTTAAAGCATTCATCTGGTCAGTAAAGTTCATTTCTCTATTGTTCACCTGGTCAGTAAAGTTCATTTCTCTATTGTTCACCTGGTCAGTAAAGTTCATTTCTCTATTGTTCACCTGGTCAGTAAAGTTCATTCTCTATTGTTAACTGGCCATAAAGTTCATTTCTCTATTGTTCACCTGGCCAGTAAAGTTCATTTCTCTATTGTTCACCTGGTCAGTAAAGTTCATTTCTCTATTGTTAACCTGGCCAGTAAAGTTCATTTCTCTATTGTTCACCTGGCCAGTAAAGTTCATTTCGCTATTGTTCACCTGGTCAGTAAAGTTCATTTCTCTATTGTTCACCTGGTCAGTAAAGTTCATTTCTCTATTGTTCACCTGGCCAGTAAAGTTCATTTCTCTATTGTTCACCTGGCCAGCATAGTTCATTTCTCTATTGTTCACCTGGCCAGTATAGTTCATTACTCTATAGTTCACCTGGTCAGTATAGTTCATATCTTCATAATGCAGTGTGAGGTGATAGTGTATTAGACAATAACAAGCAAGACTCATCACAGAGGGTAGCGTGGTACAACATCTGAGTCACTACCCAGGACTCATGCGGCCAGACATCATTGCCCCATGAGTAATAAGGTGTGGCCCCATGACAGATAGTAAAGTGCAAATCTAGTGCTGTGATTGAAGCAATGAAATGGGATTAAATATAGAGAAGAAACTGAAGTGGAACCAGAACGTCAGGAGTGCCGCCACAAAGAGTGTCAGTGAGGTAGCGGCAAGTACTCGCCTAGGTGTGGTGGTTGTGGACAGTTTTGGGATCTGGGTTTCGAAGCTGTAACATGAAGGGGTCCTCTCTCAGTGTGAGCAAGGAACAGGCTAATAACAAGCATTATTTTGTACTTAAATCTAGAAGTCAGGGCGGGTAGGAAGGCGTGTTTATTAGACTAGTGCCACTAGAAGTACAATAAATAGAGAAGCTAACATTCTACTAGGAAAGAACTGTGTAATAAATACAATATAGGATACAAAAGATTGAGTCTGGTGTAGATTCTGCTGAGCCTCAGTAACTCTACACACACACAAAAGCGTGAGAGTACATATGACTGTGTGAACACACACACACACACACACAAACATACACAAACACACACACGCACACACACACACACAAACATACACAAACACACACACACACACACACACACACAAACATACACAAACACACACACATACACACACACACGTGGAATAGACAGTGGACAAAGACAGGATGTTCCAGGAGGGGACACAGAAACAAGAGGCCACAATTGGAAGTTGAAGACACAAAGTCAGGAGATAGTAGGAAGTATTCTTCAGTCA